GCTGGGAGAAGAGGGCGGGGAAAAGCCAGCTGCGCCTGTAAGGGGCAGGTGCTCTGTGACGCTGGGGGGCAGGGCGAGGGTGCTGCTGCTGCTTGTAGAGGCTGAGGGTGTGGATGGGTTGGTGGTAATCGGTGCTGTGAGGTTGCCAACCCGAATGGCTGTGTTGACTGTGTCCTCTGCCATGCTGGGAGGTGAGAGAAAGGGGGAGGGAGTGGGAAAGAGAGGGGAAGAGGGGGGGAGGGGAGGGCCATAGAGAAGAAATATTAGAAATGTGAAGTTGTCAGGCATGATAGTGAGAGGAGGCAGACAAGAGGAGAGGGCTGGAATACGTGCTATATTAGCAGCAAACCAGCAATGATGGTCCACTTGCTCCCTGTGACTGTAACAAGGAAGGATTTAGTCAATCATGTAAGCAGCTACTAGGGTGCACACTCACCTCCTGTAAGTGGTCCACTTGCCGCCAGTGACTGTAACCAGCGTGCCCCCTTCCACCATCACTGTATGTTCACGGACCACATTCGATGTATCTGCCTTGGTCCCTTCCGTCTGCTGCCCCCCCTCTGTCTTAACTGCTTCCGCCTTTCCTGCTGCAGCCTCGCCTCCCTCGGGTTTACCCTCCTCTTGTGTGGGTGTCTTTGATTTGAGCCCTTTCCGCAGGAGAGGGCGGAGCCCGCCCCAGACTGACAGAACATCGTCCTTGCGAACCTGCAAATGGCATGGTTGGCAGCCAGAGAAACACACAAGATATAATCGGAGTGAAAGAGTTGTAATCTGGCACGTGCTCACGGCTTGGCAGGAGAGGCCAAAGCCCGCCCCAGAATGATAGAGCCTCGTCCTTGCGTACCTGCAAATGGCATGATAACCGGTTCACAGAATTACGAAAGCAGGGGATAAAGCAGAGAATGTGGATTGGTTGGTCTACCTTAATCTCCATCCACTTCCGAATAAATGCTTCACCATACACTTGGACGCATACAGACATCACACCCAATGCTAGACTCACATCACACCCAATGCTATACTCACATCACACCCAGTGCTATACTCACATCACACCCAATGTTATACTCGCATCACACCCAATGCTATACTCACATCACACCCAATGCTATACTCGCATCACACCCAATGCTATACTCACATCACACCCAATGCTACCCAATGCTATACTCACATCACACCCAATTCTATAATCACATCACATGCAACACCTCGTCCTCGGTATACTCACCTCCACATCCAAGTAGTTGCTGAGCGTGTCGACGATAAACTGAACCTCCTTTTCTGTCGGCACCGGCACATCCACCACATCTGAAGGCGAGTCAGTCGTTCCAGCCACCACCCGCCCCAACCATGGCAGCATGAACATCACCCTTCCATCTGCAGTCTTCGGTATAAGCAGACCCACGTTTCCACCGCCGCCGCCGCTGCCACTGGCTGTGCCTGCCCCAGCGCCTGAGGTGCTCCCAGAGGCGGCTCCCAGGTAGAAGTCGGGGAGAACGACGTGGGAGCCGGAGGAAGCGAGGACTGCTAGCGGGGTGTTGGGGTCGGCCATACGGCGAATGCTGTATGGGGTGGGTGGGTGAGGGGGTGCGGTGCGGGGGGGGTGTGAGCCTGAGGTGCTGCCAGAGGCAGTTCCCGGATAGAGGTTTAGAAGGGCGGCTTGGGAACCAGAGGAAGCGAGGACTGCTAGAGGAGTGTTGGTGTCGGCCATAGGGCGAATGCTGTATGGGGTGGGTGGGTGGGTGAGTGGGTGGGGGGGGGTGAGGCTCCATATTGTGCGCCTGAGATGCAGCCAGAGGCGGCTGCCATCTCAAAGTCTAGCAGAACCACGTGCGAACTGGAGGACGCGAGGGGGGAGTTGGGGAGTGTTGGGGTTGGCCATGCTGCGAATGATGTATGGGGGTTAGGGGGGTCAGGGTATAGGGTTTTTGGTTATGAGCCTGAGGTGCTGCCAGAGGAAGTTCCCGGGTAGAAGTCTGGAAGGGCGACATGTGATCCGGTGGAAGCTAGGACTGCCAGGAGCGTGCTGTGGTCTGCCACGTGGCAAATGCTGGGGGGAGAAAGAAATGAGGAGGGATTGAAGAGGCGTGAGGGGAAACGGTGTGTTAATGAACTTCGTTGTGAGACGTCTCAAAACGAGATTAACAGGCTGGGGGAAGAAAGAAATGACGAGGAATGGAGGAGGCGCGAGGGGAAACAGTCAACGTCACGGTGCATCTCAGAAAGAAACACACTCCCCATGAGCTAAGGTGCATGCGGTGTGTGAGTCACCGCATCTTGCCCGTATAACTGCCCCAATCCATCTGGATGCACAGCCCCCAGACACATTCATGCGTCTGAATTCATATGCTTTTGAGTCGACTCAAAACCAAATCCACCTGGATGCACAAACCCCAGACACCTTCATGCGTCTGAATCCGTCTGACTGCGTCATCTCAGCTATGAGCACCGAGCCAAGAGCTCATTCAAACTAGTACTCGAAAGTGACAGTCCATTAAAATCCCGTTATGTAGATCCCGTTTCTGATGTGCGCATTTCACTTCTTCCATTATGCTCCAGTATGCCTCTCACTATGCCCCTTTTTCCACCCTCAAGTTTCTCCCTCCTCAAATTCCTCCCTATGTTCCTCACTTACTCGCACGCACTACCTCTCGTTTCATCCCCTCGCCTTCCCGCTCTCACCTGTCGCAGTATGCCCCAGTTTTTTTAGGCGCCTCAAAAATAGACCTCTCACCTGTCGCAGTATGCCCCAGTTGCGTTCACCACCACTTTCGCCCGCACATCCACCTTCTTCCCCGTCAGCTCGTCCGTCACCACTGCTCCTTCCACTCTCCCAATCGGATCCGTCTTTAACCCGGACACACTAGCATGGTTCAGCACAACCGCGCCTGCACGTGCTGCCGTGGTGGCGAGAGCGAGGTTGAGGCGAGCGTCGTCCATTTGCCCGTCGTAGTACAGCACTCCCGCTTTCAGTGTGCGACCATCTGGGGAGGAGGAAGAGAGGGGAGTATTGGCCTTCTTTGAGGTGGCCGCAGAGGCGAAGCCTGCCGAGCGCCGTCCATATGTTAATCGTAGTACAGCACTCCTGCCTTCAGAGTGCGAACATCTGGGGAGGAGAGGCGAGAATGGCAGCTGGAAGGCATGGAGTATCTAGTCAGACAAAATAGGAAAGGAAAGTAGAGAGGGGAAGGAACCTCCTGCTGGATGACGCAGTGTCCAAAATATCCTACCAGTGCAGTACCAAGGACCAAGTTACCATCCGCTCCACTCACCTCGTGTCTTGTGTGAAAGAGTCGGAACCATCCCGGATGCCTCTGCTGCAGTCACCACCCGGGACATGTACAGCACCTTCTTCCCCGCTATAAGATCATACGCTTTAAGCCCGGCCCAGTAGTAGGGCACCTCCCACCAGTGGTAGCACGGCGTGAGCGTGGGCAACGGCCAGACCAGGTGCGGGGCGTTGCGGATGAGAGTGCCTCGTTCCGCCAGGGCTTCGTTCACGAGGCGCAGCTGCGCGAGATCCCTGCGAAGAAAGGCCTTCTCGAGGTACCGAACGCCTGAGGCGACGAGGAGAATGGGGAGATCCAGAAGGCAAGGAAGGAAATATGTTGCTACGAGCAAAGCGAGCTGAATTCACCAAAAACAGAAGCCCTGGAGCTCTCAGAAAGGGCTTTGAGGGGAGACTGACCGCCGTGAATGAGCTTGGTGCTTCTAGAGGATGTTCCACAGCTGAAGTCGTCTCGCTCCACCATCGCCACGTGGAGACCGCGTGTAGCAGCGTCTAACGCCACGCCGGCACCAGTAGCGCCGCCTCCTATAACGAGGATGTCGAATGGCCGCGCAGAGCTGCTGCCAGCGAGAGCTGACATCTGAACCTTCCTCGAAGGCACCTCGTCGGAAAGCTCTGGAGAAGAGGAAAGAAATGAAAACGGCATCAGCTCAAGGCTCACGACTTTTGTCAAAATCACTCAGGAAAACGCGCGAAAACCAGAAAGTATAAAAGCCTATGGAGACGCATAAATCCTGCCTCTCAAACGCGTTAGCGAACCGGACACTGATCGTACGACGCCGTGCGAGAAAAGGCACAATGATTTTACGGCGAAAGCACACGTACTGGGAAGGTTTTTGGGAGGGTCGGCATGACCGGTGGAGTGGATGTACGCCGCGAGAGCAGCGGCTGCACCCGCTCCTCCGAACAACACCACCTTAGACAACAACCGACTCGTTGTGCGAATGCTCATTCTGGGCGATCGGGTGTGACAAGCTAGGTCTGGCCTGGGTGTTCCGCAGTGCTATTCGTCAATAATCTAGCTGCACGCAATCATTGAATGTTCCTGATGTGATTCCGTGGCCCTACTTCTAGATTCAGAATGACAAGAACCGCGGCACCAGACCTCGTGGGCAATTGCAATGTCGCAGGGTTTCAAAATCTACTTCAATTGACGCAATCTACTAAAACGGCGCTAGGCAGTCCGCTTTCAATAAATCGGCTGATCAGGAGAGTAACGGAAGGAAAGATACCAGAGACAAGAGGAATGAGAGTGTCCTGAAGAATAATCTGAATCCGAAAGGTACTAATGCCTGAACAATGAAAAGAATGGTGGAATGAGAGGAATATGGGATGGGATGCTTTCAGTGACCTCGAGATTGGTGTGATGCCTTCCAAGGCTCGAATTCCCCCAGGCGAAACGGCCAGTGAATTTCATGCAGGCCAAACCGTGGAGGAACAGATCCCGAGGGGAGACCTCCCTTGCCAAGCGCTGCTGGACGAGAGGAGTCAGCAATGGCCCAAGACACGTCAGCTCTGACCTAACAGCCAGCTCGCGAAAACGGTCGCATGATAAGGTAACCCTTCTCGCAACGACACGTCTGACAGTTATTGGTTCCACGTGCTCAGGGAATGACGATGGAGGGCCAGTAGGTGGGGCCAAGCAGCGCGGGAATGTCAGAAATCCACGGTGCGGTGACGTGGCGTAAGACCCGCTGTCCCCAACTTATAAGTATTCGCCAAGGTACGTGTACACTCCGTGTACAAGTCCGAGTTTCTTGATTTCGAAATTGGGAACATCTTCAATATAAAATTGTTCTAGGAGGTCCAACAAGTCTAGCTTGCTTGGACATCTCGGCCAAATGCCAGTCTTCTATATACCACTCCGGGCTGCTATTAGAAGGGAACACCTTATCACACATCTTTATATCGCCTCGAAGTAGCCCCTGCATGCAAGACACACATGTGGACAGGGTCGGGATGACATGAAGTTACATCTATTATGAAAGGCAAGACAGCAGAAAAAAAGAGCACATTTGATTTTCAGCTTACCTGAAAGTGGTTCAGTAGATGGCCAGTTGATGCATTCAGGTCTACACCATTATCCACTGGCTCTATTGTTCGATGCACCTGCAAAAGGTATACAAGGACGAGTAAGGTGACTCTTAGAGGCACAAGGGAAAATAAAACGAGTGGAACAAAAGACACTTGCCATTATCCACTGGCTCGAGCAAAAATTAGAGTGGAAGGAACGCCACTTGCCTGCATGGCCTTGACGAGCTGTGTATTGGCGATTACTTTCCGGTGCCCGAAGTAATTAATGCATCTAGCCTCCTCGTGCCCCGCATCCTTGGGCCCTATGCAGTAGATGTGTGGCCAGTGGAAGGGCAACCGCTCGAGATAGAAGTGCTCCGATGGAGGCTGGGGGCTGAGAAAAGAGAGGGGCGAGGGTAGAGGTAGAGGTTGAGGAGATGGGAACGAAGGGGATGTTTTTTTTTTTAATTCTTGGAATTTCTCTCATAAAAGTGCTCCAATGGAGCTGAGGGCTGTGCAGAGGGGGGACGTAGAGTTAGAGGTTGGGGAAATGGGGAAGGAGGGGATGGCAGGGTGGGGTGGGGTGGGGTGGGTGGGGAGGGGATGGGGAGAAAGGAAAAATGTGTGTGGTGCGCCGTTGAGGCTGCACCACATAACGCAGCAGCACAGCAATTCTCATGACATACTGGAAGTGATAAATGAACCACCAGACACTGCCGAAGGTGAAGTGGGGGGCATCAATTTGCACACATTGGCACACTGTTAGGATTCTAACACGCACACACATTGGCACACTGTTAGCATCTAACACGCACACACATTGGCACACTGTTAGCATTCTAACACGCACGCACACACATTGGCACACTGTTAGCATTCTAACACCACACACATTGGCCAACTGTTAGCATTCTAACACGCACACACATTGGCACACTGTTAGCATTCTACCACGCACACACATTGGCACACGTTGCATTCTAACACGCACACACATTGGACCACTGTTAGCATTCTAACACGCACACACATTGGCACACTGTTAGCATTCTAACACGCACACACATTGGCACACTGTTAGCATTCTAACACGCACACACATTGCACACTGTTAGCATTCTAACACGCACACACATTGGCACACTGTTAGCATTCTAACACGCACACACATTGGCACACTGTAGCATTCAACACGCACACACATTGGCACACTGTTAGCATTCTAAACACGCACACACATTGGCAACAACTGTTAGCATTCTAACACGCACTCACATGGCACACAGTTAGCATTCTAAAACGCACACACATTGGCACACAGTTAGCCTTCCACCATGAATGCTCATTGCTGCACCCCACGTCAACACCCATCACCTACCGGCAGTGCTCAGTGGACCATCAGAGGCTGCCGAAGATGACGTAGGGAGCATCAGGGTGCTTGTCCAACAGCCCTCGAAGGGTTTGGGGCGCCGGGACGCAGAAAAATCATTGTGCATCAGTGTGCTCCTTCCAGTGAGTTAGCAACGTACCGGCAGTGCTCGATTGACCACCACAGGCTGCCGAAGGTGAAATAGGGCGCATCGGGGTGCTCGCCCAAAAGCCCTCGAAGGGTTTGGGGCGGCTGGATGTAAAGAAACCGTCGAAGTCGGCAAACAGCAGCCACCTGGTGGAGTAAGAGGGAGAGTGCGCGAGTGAGCGAGTGAGTGAGTGAGTGAGTGAGGGGGTAGAGTGGAGTGACGGATTAGGGCGCTGGATGTTGAGAATTCGTCAAAGTCGGCAAACAGCAGCCACCTGGTGGAGAAAGAGGGAGAGCGAGCGTGTGAGAGAGTGAGTGACGGTGTGAGGGAAAGGGAGAGGGTTTGCGGCAGCCGGATGTGAAGAAAATCGTCGAAGTCGGCAGACAGCAGCCACCTGGCGTGGGAGAGGGAGTTTGAAGCGAAGGAGCACGAGCGTGTGAGTGAGTGAGTGAGTGAGGGAAAGGGAGAGGGTTTGGGGCGGCTGGATGTAGAGAAATTCGTCAAAGCTGGCAAAGAGTTGATGAAAGGAAGTGCGTGTGAGTGAATGGTCGAGAGAGTGAGGCAGGAAGAGGGTTCGGAGAGGCTGCACGCGGAGGGGTTTGAGTCGAGTCCACTCAACACAGCTTTTGAATCGACTCGACATGGCGACACCGCTAATGAGTCGGCTCGACACGGCTTTTGAGCCGACTCAACACTGTAGGAAGAGGACTTGGGGGGGCTGCATGTGGAGGGGTTTAGGGATGGGGTGGGGGTTCACATGCAAACGATAGATGAGGCAAAGTAGGAGAGGTGGGCTTACGTGGAACGTTCGATAGATGCAGTGGAGGTTGGCTTACTCGGAGACATATTTCATTCGATAGAGGCAGTTATTCAGTATAAGAACGTTCTGCTTGGACTCGAACCTGCATGTGTTGGGCGGTAGCAGAGGAACAGGTGGGGGGCAAGATAAACCCCCATGCATGAATCTCCTGCCTCGGCTAGCTTCTAGTGAGAAGAGCTGCCGGCAAAAGTGAGAAAAGACTGCATGCGATTGGCAGGTAGCAGAGGCACTAGGTGGGGGGGGATGGGTGAGAACGTGTCTACTGAATCACCTCAGAAGGCACCTCGGTGCAATGTCACCCGGCACGTTCTGCTTGGACTCGCGCACACACCTGCACCCACACGCTCACCTGCACCCACACACTCACCTGCACCCACACGCTCATCTGCACCCACACACTCACCTGTACCTCCCCCCTCAAAACTCACTTGTACCCGCCCCTCATGTCTAGTATCTCCATTATCCCTGCTGCCTGCTCCAACTCCTGTGCTCCCCCATGCACCCCTCCCCCTCCAAGCCTAACCATCAAGCACTCCTGCCCCGCTTGCACACTCACTTGTAACCCCGCTCCGCACTCACTTGTACACCCCCCCCCCCTCAAACTCACTTGTACCCGCCCCTCATGTCTAGTATCTCCATTATCCCCGCTGCCACGTATGGCTCCAACACCTGAAGGGGGAGGGAGTGAGTGAGGAAGGAAGGAGGAGGGAGGGAGGAAGGAGGGAGGGAGGGAGGAAGGGAGGTATTTTTGAGGCGCCTCAAAAGTAGGGAGGAAAGTAGGGAGGGAAAGAGGTAGGTAGGGAGGAGAGAGAGCGAACAGTATAAAACGACAGCCAGTACAAAAACGCCGAACAAAAGTTCTTAAAAGTGTGTACCCTGCAGTACCGTACTAAAGTGTATTACCTCATAAACGTCTTCCACAACAGATGCGCCATCGTTGAGCACAAAGTACTCCACTCTCAAGTAATGCATGGCTACCTGGGAGGAGGGGGCGGAAGAGGGAAGGGTGGGGGGGGAAGTGGGGGGGGGCGGGCGTGGGTTGATTGGAACAGATGCCACGATCGTTGAGCACAAAGTGCTCCACTCTTAGTAAGTGAAGGGATACCTGGCAGGAGGGAGGGACGGGGGAAGGGGTGGGGGGCGGGGGGGGGTGGGAGGGGGCAGATGCGTCATCATTCGGCACTAAGTGCTCCACCCGTAAACAATAAAGGCTACCTGGGAGGAGGGAGGGACGGGGGAGGAATCACTATTCAAATCAGGGGGACGCAAGAGCAGGGAAAGATCACTATTTCCTTTTCAATAGAAGCCTGCTGCTGGGGACATGGGACAATTGTTGCGCGCAAAGTAATCCGTTCTGAAAGAGTGTCACTCCACTCCACTGCACTGCACCGCACTCCACCGCAATGCACTGCACTCCACTCATCACGGGGCAAAGCATGGGGGTTTGGGGGAAGGAAGCACCGGATGACGATGCATCAACAAGTGTGGTAACCAGCCCAGCCCTTTCGTACCTGTAACCACTCCTGGATGGTCTTCGGGTTGAGATCGTGGTACATACGGTAGGGGCAGAAGGCGAGATTGTACTAGGGTTTGGCATCAGTGCATGTGGTAACCAGCGCAGTTACATACCTGTAACCACTCCTGGATGGTCTTCGGGTTGAGATCGTGGTACATGGGGTACGAGCAGAAGGCGAGGTGGTAGGGCGGAGGGGCGTCGATGGCAAACTCATCCGGCCCTTCCTGGTGCATCAGCACCGCCTGCTCGTCTGCGTGAGGAGGGGGGAGAGAGAAAGAAAGGTGTAGAGCAAGAGAGACAAAGAGATGCGAGGCGGTGTAACTGGTGCCAGAAGGCGAGGAGGTAGGCAGGGCGGGGGGCGTCGATGGCAGACTGGTCCGGCCCCTCCTGGTGCACCAGCACCGCGTGCTCGTCTGCGTATGGAGGGAGGGGGAAGGGAGAATGAAAGGAGGGAGGGGGAAATGAGAGGAGGGGAGGGGGAAGGCCTCAGGAAGGGAAATGGCAAGTATGGATGCTGGATTGGTTAAAACCATGGCAACGCTGGCTGGGATACTATTGATTGGACTCAAAGGGATACTATTGAGTGGACTCAAAGGGGGGAAAGGACCAAAAAGACGAACGTCAAGCATGGAAGCCGGGTCTCCCTCACTCACCCTCGCTCGCTCCCTCACTCACTTCCCCTCTCGCTCCCTCACTCACTTCCCCACTCGCTCCCTCACTCACTTCCCCACTCACTCCCTCACTCATTTCCCCACTCACTCCCTCCACACACACCTAGCATGAGGATCGCAGAACCCCCTGTCATCCCTGTGCTGTTGACCAATAGTGTACACTCGTAAATTGCTGTCTCGTACAGCAGCCAGTGGTGCTCCGCAGGGTAAATCACCCTCACTTTGCCCTCTGCATAGCCCCCGTCCAATGCCATCCAGTAACACTTGCTTGCCTGCAATTAGGGAGCATATGGGCGTTTCCAAAAGATTAACTTAATAACGATGGGTTTCTTTTAGCAAAATACCTTGATTGAAACTGTAAAAGACGTTCCTGAGACCCCATGTTGAGACAGTTTAAATCAATCATACTCGATAATACCTTTTTTTTTCAAAAGTAAAGAATAATGAAGCCCCCAAGAAACTGTCCAACCATTGCCACTCACCCCACTTCCTCCCTCTTCCTTCAGTTCTCGCAGCGAGTGCCCCAAAGCAGCAAACTGGTTACGGGAAATGCGGTAGCCACCCGCCATGACGAACCGGTGCTGGCCAATGGGAGCACCCGAGACAGGTGGTGGCTCCTGATAGGCCCGCTGCAGCAGCGGCCGCTTGGTGAGGCAGGGGTTGGAGATCGATCCTATGTGGCGCATGTTACCACCGTCCAGGTCAGCATCTGGGTGAGGGGGAGGCGAAGGGGGGGTGGGGGGAGGTTGGGAGCGGGAAGAGGGGGGGAGGGATTTTTGGGAGTGGGGGCGGGAAGGAATCCCCAGCAGGACAGGGGATCCCCAGCAGGACCGGGAATCAGAGCAGAAGGATAGGGACGGCTCAGCCAGGCCAGAAGAAGGTCGCCAAGTTACTACCAGCCAGGTCAGCTTCTGGGAAAGACAGGATCAAACCCTTCAACTCGCACCCCTCTCCCGTTATAAGCACCTGTTCTGTACTCGAGTTTCCTTGTATTGAGCTCCTCTGGTTGCCCTGGCAGGAACACTCCTTGCTTCTGCGCCTGCCGCCAGAGCCCCTCATTC